AACCTGAAATTATGGGAGAGATAAGGTGTCACCGGGGTGGGGCTGACAGGGGATGGGCAGGGAGCTAAAATATGAGATGCTGGGGTTTGGGAAAGTCACGTTTGAGCAAGAATCTGCGGTGAGGGCGGGCGACACCAGACCCCGCCTTCAGTCCTCCACCCTGTGTTATCTTCCATGTAAATACTACTTAAGGGGCTCTCAGAATCACAAGGCTTTGTGAAGACTGTGAAATAGAAGAAACTTGGTTAGTGAAAATTTGCTTGCATAACGTTCCATTTTAGTTATGTTATTTTAGGCGTTACAGATGTCGTATAAAAAAACACGCTGGTTAGAATCCCTCCCTTTTTACTGTGATGTTTATCACTTCATTTCCCTTGGAAGCAGACACTTCATCTGTTGTCATATTTTTAGAGGCTTGAGAAAGTCATATCTCACATCTTCTGAGGGTTCGACACTTTCCGCAGTGGTTTTTCCCGCTCCCTCTTTTAGTGGCTCAGCGGGGTTTCTTCCCACAAAAGCACACTAGAGCGTTAAATAATAGAAAATGTAAAACTGCAGGAAGAGGAAAACGGAAGAGCAATTCTTCCACATCAGGAAGTGGACTTTTACTTTATCAGGCTAGTGGACAAAGGAAATCCCCAGATAATAGTGGCTTAAGAAGACAGATGCGTCTTTCCCAGATGAAAGATGTCTGGGGAGGGCAGCCCAGCTGTGGCCTGCACTTCTGCCCTACCATCCTCACAATCCCCTCATGGTTCCAGATGGCTGCCACAGCTCCAGCCATCACACCATCACACCCCTCCAGGAAGGAAGATAGGGTGACCAGAATGGTCTGTTCTCTGCCTTTTAAGGAGAAGTTGCATAAAATCCCTCAAACGCTTTCACCTTTTTAGCTCCTATAAGTACATTATGGACCAGAACTTACTCACCTTGCCATACCTACCTGTGGTGGACTTGGAGACACAGTAAAGGCATTTAGTGGAGAAAAAAAAAGTTCAAACCAATAAGGTGTTGCTTGGAGGAGAAAGGAGAATAGATGTTGGGAAGCATTTCTAGCAACGTTGCCATAGTCACCAGCCTCATTTTCTTTTTAAGTTTATGAAGTCTATACATCTCAGGGAAATAAATCCTACCTAGCTCTTGGGACCATGCGAAACTGCAGTTTTAAATGCTCTCATTCGTTTTTTACAAATTCAGATAAGAAGCTCCAGTGGGGAATGAAGTTGGACTCCGTCCTCTTCTCCGCCTTTGTATATGTTGCCTCTGTCTCCTGCCCGGTCACCTACTTTGGGATCGTGCAGGGACTCAGTCCCATGAAAGAGGGCCTCACCGGGCTTTGTGTGTTATAGGAAGTAGTCTTTTCACACGCATTTTTTAATGTCTTATTGGCCTTTTTAAAAAAACATTTAGCATGTGTATTTTAAGTTTGTAGTGACTATAAACCCTCAGACCAAAAAGAACAAAATATTGCAAACTGCGGGGTTTGGTCCCAGCTCTGAAGCCAACACATGGGACGTTCTCTTCGGTTCACAGTTCGAGTTTCCTATTGGTTTTGAAGAAAACAGTCATTTGCATGAACCACTTATTAAGAGCTATTTGAATGACATGAATACTGTCACATGTTTGTTTGTTTTTTTTTAAGATTTTAACTTTACTTTATTTTTAGAGAGATGGAAAGAGAGGTAGGAAGAGACTCCTCACAGGACCTGGCCCTGCAGCCCAGGCACGTGCCCTGACTGGGAATCGAACGGTGACCTTCGGTTCACAGGCCAGTGCTCAATCCAGTGACTCACTCAGCCAGGGCATCAAATGTTTTAAAATAGTTTTCAACTGTGTGGTCTCTGAAACAGAAGAAAAGGAATAAAAAATGTTGTAGCATTCCTAACTTTTTAGATAGCTTATCATTTTAGTATTTGGCAAAATGGCAGAATATTTTCAATTCCATGAGCATTATGTAATAAGATATGTAATAAAGCATTAGGTTCTAGATCAGTATGTCTGTTCTAGCATGAGAGAGAGAAAGAGATTGTGCCTGTGGAAGTGCTACTTTATCAGCACAGAAATAGGAACAGGTTTCTTTTCTTTTATTAAAAAATTATTTTTTTTTAGAGAGAGTGGAAAGGAGGGAGGAAGAGAGGCAGAGAGACATCAATATGTGGGAGAAGCATCAATCATCGATCAGCTGCTTCTCTCACACCCCCAACCGGGGACCTGGCCTGCAAGCCAGGCATGTGCCCTGACCGGGAATCGAACTGCCGACCTTTATGGCACTCAGTCTACGGAGCTACACAAACCACGGCCCTGTGTGTATTGTTACATCTCCTGTCTTCCTCTCCTTGCCAGACGTTTTGGACTGGTAGTTGTACCATCACTATCTCAGTGCCCACACGAGCCTACCATCCTACTGAAAACTTCTCTAGAAGGTCACTAAGCCTCTCGTTTGTCAAGTGCAGTGACCTTTTCTCCATTCTAATTCCTGAGGCTGGAGAATCTGACATCGTTTATTGCCATGCACTTGAGGCTCCCTGGCCCCCTGGGCTTCCAGAGCACCCTTCTCCCCTGCTGTCTTGTTGACCAGTCCTGTGGCATCAGGTGCTAACTTCCCCACAGAGAACTAACTCCCTCAGCTCTGGGTGATCGGATTCCAGAGCGGCATTCCCCCGGCTGGCTACCCGTGGCCTCCTAAGGCCATGGTCTCTGAGGGGCATCCACACACCTGATTGATAGCCACCATCTCCTCTTACCTAGTTCCTCTCCTGCGAGTCCGGTTGTTAATCGCTCCGCTGTCATTCCAAGCACTCTGACTTTGGAGTCTTTCTTCCGCCCCAGATTCTGACACCAGCAAACTGAACACTCCACTGCCACCCTGTTTCACTTCTCTCCTCTCCTCTCCATTCCCATGGCTACTTTGGTTTTAGGTCCTTGTCTCTTTAACTGATTTCTCTGTCCCTGTTTCTAATTCTACCCTCATTTGTCCCACAGATATTCCAGGTTCAGGTCTGGCTCTGGCGCTTGCCAGCCCAAAACCGTTCCATGGCTTTCTACTAGTAATGGAGTTAAACATACAGACCCACAATTTGGCATTCAAGACCTTCCCAGTAAGGCGGACAAAGTAAAATGGAATTTATCTTCTGCAAGTAGTTGGGAAAACACCTGAAATAAAAGTAAAAAACCCCTGAATTGTCCATAAAACTATACTGTCCCTACAATTTGGTCCAAGGGCTCTAAGAAAAAGAACTTAAAAAAACAAACAAACCAGTGAGCACTGTTTTCCCCAAGGAAATATATCTCAGAACTCAGAAATATTTCTCAGACAGAAACTTAAGGAGGCTGATTTACTCTCTGTGCCAAAGAGCATGAATCTGCTTTTAAATGCGACACCGCTATCTGCTGCCTTTGTGGACGCATGTTTTTCTCCAGCGTGGTGGAACGGAAGGAGGGTTGGATGAGGAAATCAAGAGCTTTATTTTCTAATTCCAGACCTAGATGGCCCGGCTTTTGGTAAGCCACTTAAAGTCTCTAGGCATCCGCTCCCACATCTGCACACCAGGGGTGGGGCAGGACCCTGCCAGTAGGTGGCTGCAGGACGGTCACCTGGGCAGTGCGTGTGAACAGCGCCAGACCCAGGCTCTCCTCCCGGGAGTGTGCTGGTAGGTCTGGGGTGGGGTCCAGATATATATATATATATATATTAAAAGCTCTTCAGATAATTCTAAGGTGCAGCCAGGGCTGAGGACCCCTGGACCAACATCAAATGTCTTCTCAGCTTTAATGAAGTCATTTTTGGGTTTGCTGTTTCTCCCAATCACAAGATAATTTTCATTTGAATGTACGGTAAGCACCTTCCAGCTCAGATTATAATGATGGCTACTGTAGTCTTGCCATCCATGCTACGCTGCAGGTTCCTCAAACACAAAGCTTTACTCATCTTTGTACACTTCTTGCTCTTCAGCACATGATTCTGACATTAGGGTTGTTAAAGTGAGTGAAGAGGTAGGAAGCCTTACCCAGACAAGATCCTCTTCCCTTCCCTACATTTGGTGTGACTGTGACTCACACCAAATGAAAACACTGAACTCTGTGGTTCTTGCTCAGTTGTAGGTGACATGCTTCACGGCTGAGGTTCAGGAAAGGGAAGCTGAGGTGGTCAGCAGCTTTCAAAATGTTTTCACAGTGACTTGTTGACCGAACCACTGTTCTTACATAATCACGTGGTGTTTCATCTGCAATGGTGTCACTCATGTGTTTGAGAACATGTGGTACATTTTAAAGGCAAATGACTGTTGCCATTTAAACTCGATTTTTGGGGGAGTCCTTGAGCCAATAATGCTGCCCTGGGAAGCCAGGGATTATTGAATTTCTGTCACAGGAATGGCTGTGAGGATACCATCCACCCTGGTGGCTATGAAAGAGGTGGTTGGCGAGGGGAAGCTGGATAAGGCACTATTCTTCAGTGCCCACGGGGAAGCCGTATACACACCTGTGCCACGGTTACACGGAGAGTAGGAATGATGCTACCAATAGCTTTCCTAAATGAAGTCTCCATGCAAGTTTTAAAAATCGAATTAAATTGAGCAACACAGTCATCCTGTGGAAGTTGAGGTGTCCAATACAACTACTGAATGCCCCTTGACAGTGCTATGGTCCTCCAACAGATGCTTTTTAAAAAGCTTTACCACTTTAAAAAGTTGCTGTCTTTTACGATCTTTCAAATTCTTGAAATGAAATTTGAAGTATGAAAAATGCAAGGCAATGTCCCACTGGGAAAAACCAAGTTCTCCAGCTGGACAAATTTGACAGTCCTTATGGGGTTTTAGCAAACGGCCAAATGACCGGCTCTTTGGTCATATTCACAAAAGTCAAATATACAAAACGCATCCCCAGAAAACATTTTCTTTGGAACTTGGGTTCTGGGAATTCATCTGGCAGTATTTTTTCCACGGCTGTAATTTATTCTTTGCCTTAAACTTACAATTTACAGAAAGGTAACCATCTCTAAATCAGAAATGGAAAAGAGCTTTTATTTTAAAAAGCCTTTATTTTATTGAGATACAATTGGCATATAACTCTACGGCTTTTCATCATATATATACACACGTAATACAGGTTAGAAGTATACACACAACGCCTCAAAGGTAAAAAAAAAAAACCAAAACAAGACATTGTAAAAATATATAAGAATTAGACTATCACAAACAACATCATAAACATGGATCTTCCTGGTGTGTGAAATTGAGAAACATGAAGCCGGCTCTGCAAGTAGTCACCAAGGAGACGTGAGACTCGGAGGCTGACTTCTCACCCCGGAATCTGCTAAAGACAGGGGGAAAAGGGAGTCGCTCCTCGCGCGAGAAGGCGCCCCTCCTCCCGTCCCCCTGGGACCGGGCCGCGCCGCCGGCGTGCCCCCCGGCCCGCGCCCTCCGGGGATCCCCCGCAAGCCGCCGGGGTCCGTAGCCCCCGCGCGCAGGCCGCCTCACAATCAGGGCCGGGCGCCGGCTTGACGTCACCGTTCCGCGGCCCGCCTCCTGCGCCCCGAAAGAAGCGGCCTCCCATTGGCTGTACAGCCACGGCCTCGGGGCCAATGATAGTGCGGCGAGCGACTGGGTCCCGCCTTGACGTCGCCTTGCTCGCCTTGGGGCTGATTTGGCTCGGGGGCTGCTTACCGCCGCCATTGCGATCCCGCAGCGCCCTAGGTCGTCCTCCCTCTTTTCTCCCCCGACCCCCAGACATCCCCCTCGCCTCCGCGCCCGGTCCCCGCCCCTCTGCCCCCACCCCCGGCAGCCGGGAGCCGCGCGCGGGCCCACGGAGACCATGTCCTGACTGAGAGGAGAGGGCGGAGGCGGCGCGGGGGGAGGCGGAGAGGGGCCGGGCTCGGCTCGTAGCCGCTGGCTGCTCGGGAGTCGCCGCCGCCGCCGCCGCCGGGCGCCGAGGTCCGGACGGGGAGGAGAAGCAGGAGCTGGAGGAGGAGCCGCCGCCGCCAGGTAAGCGGGCCCCGGGAGGGCGCCCCGCCGCGGGCCCCCCGCAACCCCGCCGCGGCCTCCTCGGCCTGGACCCCACACCGCCGAGTCTTCTCCGGTACGGCGGGCGCGGGGAGGCGCGGGAACCGGGCCCGGCCTGCCGCTGTCGCGCTTCCATTTTGGGCTTCCTCAGTGCGGGACAGGCCTGGCCCGTGGGAGGTGGGTCCGCCCGGCTTGTTTACCGACTGTCGATCAGCCGCGGCTGGACGCGCCGCCCGCCCTGCCACCTCTCTTCCGCCAGATTCTCCCCTTCCCCCCAGCTCCTCTTCCTGCCACCTCCCGAGGGTGGGGGTATGTGAGTGGATTTCGCTCCCACTCTGCGGTAGGCCCTAAAATACTTGGTCCGTCGTCACAAGTTGGTGCTGATCTCCGAACTTGTGTTTCTGTCTCTTGGCCTTTTCCTCTCCGCTTCTTCGGTAGCCTCGGCGGCTGCCATTTCTGGTTTAAGATAAAGGTCGGGGGCGACGGGGGCGGGGCGGAGGACCTACCACCATTGGAAGGATTGTCTACCTTTCTTGCTCCCAATAACGATTGTTCTTGCTGGGATCTGTTATTTTCTCCGCCTGTGGTGTGGACACATCGCAGACAAAAGGGCTGTAATAAACACTTGAATTAAGTGCAAGGGACAGGCAGTTTAGGTTCAGCTTGAAAGTTTGAACTGGCCCATTATCTTTGAGATGCACGGGTGTTTTGAAACTTTCTTGCAGAGAATTTTGATTTCAGTCATCTGAATTCCCTTTTCTGTAACCTTGCAGACTCTCAGGGTAAACGCTGTCCCCTCTACCCAGTGTTTTGGTTTGTATGATTTACGATGGTGTCAGTAGGTTTAATGTACAGAACTGTCGTTTTAGGATTACAGTCGAAGAGAGATCTGGAGCTCTTGGATACGTTGTATAATGAGTGGTTCTTCCCTTTTAAGTTGTTTCTCTATGACTTGGGTGACCTCAGGGGTGCTTCTGTACAGGGGCGACTGTACCAGCCATAAGCCAGGGGAAACTGTAAGGAATTTTGATCTTGACTTCTGCCATGGGTCTTGGGAAAGCCACCTAAATTACGTTTGAAAAATAAAGCCGGATCTCTCCTCCTCGTTATTACTGTTAATTAAATGAGGTACTTGTAAAGAAATATAGAACCTTGTTCCTTTTTGGTTTTTCAATTTTATACTAAAATTGAAAATCTCTTTATACTAAAATTTTGTGACATTGTTTTTAGTTGGGTATTGGGGGCTGAGAAGACGGTAGTGACATAATCTTTTGGGGAGGATACCATTTGTTGTGAGGGTTTTATGTTTCTGTTGATGGCTTCAACACTTTGTTAGTGCTTCAGAGCACCGAGACACCCATTTATTTACTCTTGAAAAGTGTTTGGATTAATATGATGAATTCATTCAGGATAGTAGATTTTAAGCTTATGGTCTTGATTGAGCTCTGCATGCTGATCAGGGTTATGGTGTATCACATGCGAAGTGTGAGGATGCATTCACATGTTTGAGGTAAACCACCTCGTGTAATTGATACAGTGGGAGCTGTTTGTTACGCTTTACACACACCCTGCTTTTATAATAAATGGAAACTTTAAATTAGTGGGAGTTGCAAAAGTAGACCACATTATTTAACTCGACCCACTGTTGCTTTTTGAGGTGTCTTGCCCACCCCAAGATAATATTCTCTTGTACCTGAGTTTCAAGCATGTTTTCCCCAGGGATGAGTTGTTTCATTTGCAGTATTTATGTTCCGCTTATGCTTTAGATAAATAAGATCTTGTGCATCTTAACATTCTCATTTACTCGTATCACAAGATAAAAACTTCCAGAACACTTATTACATGCAGAGGAAAGTTTAAGCTCCTTGGTGTAGAGGTCAGGTTTCTCTGTAATCGGGCCCTGATCCACTCTGCAGACTTGACCCTCACTCTGACCTTTGTGAATCCTTAGTTCCAGCCAAATGAATTTATTTGTTCTTGTGAAGAGCCTCTTTCTGCTTAAACTTGCTTCTGTTTGTATTCATGGATATGCTTTACTTTGGGCCTAGTTGATTCCTGTCTTCTGAGAAACCGATTTGGTGACTTCACCCTAAGGGGTCCGGTCCGTTCACTCCTGTCTTGTGTAGGTCTCTGTCATCCTTTTTATTTTTCCTACCATATGCCAGTTTGGATTTCAATTGATCTTTCTATGTCTTTATTCTACTTCCTTATTAGATTTTTAAGACCTCTGAGAAATGAGTGTGAACCCTGAACCAGATATCTGTAGAGACCGCATATCATTTATTCAGAATGAATATATGCATTCTACTTTGACAAAGTAGTTTTGGTTATAGAGGTTCTAGGATATGTATGCAGTTTGTCCTCTCCTAAATATTGGAGTTTCTGGGGCTTTGATGATTTATGAGACAAAATATTTGAAATTATAGCTTAGTGTAAAAATACCTTTTTGTGGGTCAATGTGTTTATATCTATTGTTAGCACACTTTCTTTCTGTATGGGATGTTAAACATTTTGATAATGATCATGTCTTTTTTTTTTAAGATTTATTATTATTATTTATTTATCTTTAGAGGGTAAGGGAAGGAGAGAGGGAGAGAAACATCAATGTATGGTTGCCTTTTGTGCGTCCCCTGCTGGGAACTGGCCTGCAGGGAACCGGCCTGCAACCTAGGCATGTGTCCTGGTTGGGAATCGAACCGAGATCGTGTGGTTCGCAGGCCCACGCTCAATCCACTGAGCTACACCAGCCAGAGCTGATCATGTCTTATTATTCAAATAAAAACAAGTACTGCACTTCCACAGTTCAGATTTGAGTGTGGGGCAAGTTTTTCCTTCTGGGTTTGGCACCGGTGGCACTCAGGATGGCCACGCGTGTTTGTAGTGTGTCCGTAATGTTTAGCATCATGGGAAGGAGGAAAAAATCTGCAGTCTCAGTTTACATCCTCAACCTCAGATGTTGGCAGCTTGTGTCATTGATCACAAGGCAGATGAGACTCGGGAGAATGTGTGATTCACTACTACCTGTCCACACTGTCTGGAGAAGACACAAAGCAGCTGGCCCACAGTATTTTGTACACCGCGGATACTGCATGTAATTACAGAGTCCACAGGGTGGGTGCTGATGCAGTTGGGAAATAGGTGTGTATGTTTCTGTTGTATTGTGTGTGAGTAAAAGGCCTGGCATTGCATGGACGCATAGTCTTTTCGCAGTAGAAGACTGTCTTGGTTGCATCTGTGTGGAAACTTGTCTTCTTTCTCCAGTTCACCAAAATATCTTTCCCTTGAAATTGACTGATTTTTAGGAAGTAGTTTATGTAACTTTATTTAAACTTCAGAAACCTTTTTAGCATAATTTTAAGCTAAAATTAGTCAGCTAATAAACTTTCCAGAAATGCTAGACATTTTTATATAGTCTACTTGCATTTGTAAAATGTACTTTCATGGAATCAGACCAGTAATTTCACCACTTGAGAAATTTGGATCGGTTAGCATTCTTTGCTTTTTTGGGAGGGTGGAATTTTGGTTAAGATGAAATTTTTGACAAGAACCATCAGTTTGAATTTTAAAGTGGAGGTTGGTCTGGTAAATTGAATAGAAAGTTGATAATTTTTCAGTTGCCTAGTGAAACTGAACTTTTTAGTAATAAAAAACCTAATTTTCTATATTTTTTATACTTTGTGTTATTGAGGACAAACTGTCCCACCCTCTCTACCAGCACAACACAATTTTTTCCCACCCTTTGATAAATCAAATTTTTATGTGGATTGAAGTAACATAAATAAAAGTATTTGGATAGGTGAGGCATTATTGGAAGTCATTTGTGTATTGTGGGGAAGGGAAGAATTCATCTTCCCCTCCTCTGTTTATTTTGACTGGCTGAAAAATCAGTAGGAGGTAGACTGACAAGAGAAAATAAAATTGAATTTTGTACACACAGGAACCCCATGTACATGAGAGAGTCAGAAACCCCATGTGCACGAGGGGTTTAGAGACAGAAAGGGGGGTGAGATACAGCATAGGACATTTTGAGTTCAGGTCCCTGGGGGTGGTTCAAAAGGTCATTGCAGAATGAGAAGAAGAGCAGACCTTTGGTAGGTGGAAGTGTGCCTTCCCTGGGGATAGATCAGAAGTAGTTAGCGCTGGTAATTCTTTATGGACAAGGCCTCTCATTCAGAACTTTCTCGGTACATAAGGGCAGGGACAGAGGCTGCTCCTGAAACCAAATTGCCTTCAGCGCACGGTGGTCTGCGTGCCACTGAGGCACATCTTGCAGTGGCTCGTTCTGGACCCCCACAGTACCTTTCCTTTTTTTATTGGTTTTTAAAATAACAGCTTCATTGAGGTTTATTTCATATACCATGAAATTCATCTTTTGAAGTATGCACTTGCGTGACTAGCACCACTCTCTTGAACATTCTCATCGTCTAAAAAGAGACCCGTGCCCATGATCAGTCCTTTCTCCCTTCCCCTGAGCCCCTGGCAACCACAGATCTACTTCTGCAGATTGATATACATTGTTTGTTTACTGATTGGGGGGTATCCAGGTGGTTTCCATTTTCTGTCTCTCGTGAAATCTGTGTACACGTTTTTGTGTGGATACATGTTTTCACTTCTCTTGGGTGCACACCTAGGAGTGGAATGGCTGGGTCATGTGATGGTTACGCTGTGGTTGACCTTTGGAACTGCCAGACCATTTTCCAAAGTGGTTGCTCCAATTTACATTTTTACCAGCAACGAAGGAGGGTTCCATTTCCCTGCACCCTCTAATCGACACTTGTTGCTGTCAGTCTTTGTTATTATAGCCGCGCTAGTGAGGTGGCATCTCCTAGTTTTTACTTGCATTTTCTTCATGGTGCTAAGTATCTTTTTTTTGGGGGGGGTATTTGTATATCTTCATCAGAGAAATGTCTATTCTAACCCTTTGCCCACTTTTCAGTGGGGTTATTTGTCTTCTGAGATCGGATGAGATAGGGCATGTTCAG